GAAATGAGTTGGACTGAATGCAGCGGGAGCGCACTGATTCTGATTAGTTGTCTTTTGGATTACTCGTACTTCCGATCGACTAGACCCACCACTCTCAACCATCGACGTGTCTCGTTGTAGATTTACTAGGCGTTGATATTCATTAGCCATGTCACTTAGTGTGAGTTTTGGATCTTGGTCCAATCGACATAGTAGTCGCGTTCTTATGTCACTGAACTTCTGGGACTGAAGGCTGCAAATGAGGATAAGGGCTTTGAACTGGTCTTCAGATAAAGACTTTAACCGGAACCGTTCGCATTCACGGTTAACGATGCCCACATGCGTAAGGAAGTCATCGTCTTCGTTCATAACCAGCTTCAAACATCGGTAACGGGTGTTAAACAATGATGAATTGTCCCCAAAATGTTGGCTTAGTGTCTGGACTGTGTCTGCGAAAGAGCGATCACGTGGATTCAATGGCAGGATCAAATTGCAGTACCTGTCCAGCTCACTTGCACCCAACTTCCGAAGTAGCAGTCGTACCTTCCAAGCATCATCTTGATTAGCAAAATCAAATTTAAATAGGTCTTCATAACGCCGGAACCACATGTCAAAAGTAACGTTTGCATCAGGATCATAATGAAACTCAGCAATACTATTTGCGACGCCGTCTACTGATGGTGCTGTGGTTGCATTAGCTGTGCTAGGCTGTGAAGGGGGCGAAACTTTCATGTCTGTCAGCATTTGTATGAGCTTCAGCTGCTGTTCAAGTAATGATTCGAGTTTAGAAGGATCCATGTTTCCATCCCATCCCCGTCGCCAATTGTTATGCCTGAAACTAAATCGATTCCGCGGTAACGAACGAAAGCCAATGACACAATGACACGATAAGCTATTCTAATCTGTTGTCCCAGGCCCCGCTAACTAGATGAAGAAGTCCAAGGCAAGTAGGGGAATATATATGTATTCCGTAAGCAGCCGAGTACAAGCAATCAAATAAGGGAAAAAGTCAAGCGCATTTATACAGTAACAAATTGTCCTTGAGCACCATTAGTAAATAGCACACATAAAGAAACAAAGGACCAATAGCGGTTAAGATAGTTTACAGGTGGGAAATATGACGTGAAGGTAAAAGAGCGCTTTTGGCGCGAAAACAGCTAAATTCAAATTTTCAAAATAAAACTACAAGATTAGGTCATTTACCAAGTAAGTTCTGGGGATTTGACATCCCCAACAATTATGTTATCATGACGATTTACCAGTTGGGACAATTTTGAGGCCTGTTTGAAAGAGATACAAAGGTAATAGAACTTTCGTGATTAATAATTCTTTGTACAATATACTCACACTAAGTATGTCATGTCAGTATGTTAAAAGAACAAAGATGACCCAACTCTAAAGTATTCTTTCGTCAGATATGTTTGTAGATATAGACGTAAAGGCAGTGCATCAGAATCAGAATTTTGGTCCGTGAAGTAAATGGTGAGCTAAAGATGACCTCAGTTAATACACCAACGCGTAGCATTTGACATCTGGTTTCTTGGATGTTATACAAACAGCGTACCAAGAACGATCTTGCTGAAATCTGATCACATTCATATCCAGTTTGTTAAGTTCACATTCTAATTAATTAAGTTTAAACACATATCAACAGGATTTTACAGCGCTTCCAGTCAAACATCGGTGTAAAAGTATTCAATGAAAGTATCCATGATTTGCTTCAGTTTCAGGGAGCAAGTAGTTATCTATCACGCGTTTAAAGAGGTAGTATGTATTGACTCGACCTATCAGACCAACAAAGTTCGGTAGGTAACGAATAGTAACAGTTCTGTCTTAATTTTTTCTACTATTCCAGCTAGTGGTTACTGGTAGTACTAGGCAAGGGCTTGCAGGTAAGGATGACGCGATGTCCTGAAACTACTCGAATACAGGTACGCTGACATAGTACTGTGTTCGTTCCATGTCTTAAGAACATTTCCCAGGAGGTTAGGGGTTGACTGTACAAATTATTTGCTATAGTTCAGAAATGCTGATGCTTGCAAATGCTTGTGAAATCTTGTAAAGACAAGCGATCTGATATGTGAGCTTCGCTACTCAGAATGCACTACATTCAGACTTACTCAGAAGTATGAGTGCCTGAATTCCCATTTTCCATGGGCTTCCGATTACATAAGAGATCATTGGACTGCTTAGAAATTTATGTGGGATCGCTTTTACCAGCAATATGTACTGATCCTGAACAACCAGTTATTTTATCATTGTGATTTTTCTCAGTTTTATGCAAATTCATTCATATGGCCATCAACTTGTTTTCAAAGCGAATGTACTGTGCAGTCTTGGGTGACTGTGGAACATAGGAATATTAGTTCGCGTTATTGTGTAACGATTACCAACCTGGTAGTAAAAAAAAGTTGATGACCATATAAATGAACTTGTGCAAAACTGATGAAAATTACAATGTTAAAATGTCTTGTTATCAAACAAATATGACCACACGGCAACATGTAGTCATGGAGACGCTGACAAGCTCATCGCGCACAACATACATTATGCCCTTGCCGTGGCAGAGGATGTATTCTCCTGCTATTACTTCATGTGTCATTCTGCTAACCCATTTATAATTTACAGCTGCGAAATCTGTGAGATTACTTAAAAGCTCTTGGAGTGACCTTGAAAACAGCTTTGTTGGTCACGGTCAGTTTCTAAAGATTATAACAGTTTTATATCATTCTACAGTTCGCTGGAGTTTTGGCCGAGACTATTATCTGAATACTATCGGATTTAATCTTTCTCATTACGCCGTTGGTGCTATCACGTGCAGAGGAACACCTGTTAGTCAAATGAACCCATTTGTGATTATTATCTCAGAAGCTTATAAGTAACATTCATCTCACAACAACTGCTACTATTTTTATTGTTATTTGTTACCTTCTTGCTTTACTCACGAACACAGACTTAGGTTTGTAGTGTATATCACTAGTAACTGCGTAATGTTATATCTCGAGTAAGCTTTTTTGCTGAGATCCATCACAAACTGCAGCAATATCCACACGTTTCTTGTACTTACTAACGTTACAATCTTGTTTTTATTCATCCAGTTCGTTCATAAATCCAATTTTTGGAAATATATAATACAAATGTTAAGAAAACATACATAATTCAGTTAGGAGTTAGATCGTTCATTTAAGACAGGTAATTTATTTACTTTAAATAACTGTTGCAAACATTAGATTACTGGTTAACTTCTAGTTTAATGAGGTCAAATGTATTTGTAAATACTTAAACTGATAAATATTACATCAATATTCTCGATATCGTTTCCATACGTGACTGATAAATAAGTGTACATCTACGGTCCTACTTTTCTCTTTGTCTCGATACAGAAGTTTTGTTCCGTTGCACTAAGTAGCAATCAATAGTTAATTCTCGTGAAACTACAATTTACGGACGATGCTTGAGTGACTATGCGGATGTCGACCTACTTATTAAGGTTAAAAATTAGTGTAAAGAATTAGAGTTAGGGTTTTCATTACACCCTTATTCTCCGGTCCTAGTGTGGTGTGGTCTTCTTATATCCATATTAGTATATGGTGATGGTCAGACATAGAATGTATTTTGGCAGATCGATAAGGAATGAACTGAAATGAAGCGCTATCGGTAGGAAAATGCATGAACAATGGAATTAGAAAAGCCATTAATAATCATAATAATAATAATAAGATGAACTAATATTTACAGAAGAAAAAGTGAGGATTGAGACAATTGGTTGTTATTTTGCAAATTAACTGTTCGCTGTATGGTTGTCAGAATGTAGTGAGATAGTCTGTAATATGTGCTTAAATACATTCAATTGTTCCCAACCGGTGTTTTGTTCAATACACTGTGGTGGACCAAAATGTTTGATAACCAAAAAATTAGCAACAAAAATATTATGTCTATAGTTTATGTAACAATTAACAGTTAATAAGTAATTACACACAAAAATAACAAAATAAGGGACGTTACTTAAGTCTTCAGGCTATTGCGTGTTCGGCTGGGTTTGGTCCAGATACTCCACAATTATAACAAAATTAATAATCCCAATATGGACGATATAGATCCAGTAGTTTTACCAAGCGTAGAATTCAATAAGAATGTCGCAATTGTCTATAAACGTAGATGGTATGCAATTAATATTTCATTCAACATATTAGCAGACAGGGCAGAACGATGCAGACGTGAATTAGAGTGTATTTGTTGAGGAGAATTAACAGTGGCACGGTATGTTGTACTCAAAACGGAAGGAAGAAGTGTTACAAGCGTTCAAAGTAATACAGTTAAACAACAAGTACAATTGTTTAATGCTTAATGTACAGAATATGAAAATACATGCGAAAACTATGAAAAATTATTTACAAAATAGGTTTTAAGGTTCTATCTCCACAACACTAGTAAACAGTGGCTTCAGAAGTTCACATTTTTATTCAAAATACAACAATGAATATTATGATTACTCTTAACTGGTGACCTAAATGACCATGGATATTATTCTCGAAATTGAACCAGTAAAATATTCGATTTATTTAAACAAATCACTGTGTTTGAGAGATTTGAAGTTGAGGGTATGAAATACATTCACTTTGTCTTAAAACATTTATTGATCTTGTTATATCCCCTGGTGAATTATGAATGATAACTTTTGAGGACTATTTATGGACCAATATAATATGTCTATTTCCTATTGTATAATTGTTACGTAACTAAACTATACATATTCGTGTTCCTCTTATCATAAGGCTTTTGTGTATCATAGCTCTGATCGATAATTCGCTCTCCTATTTGATTGGGCTGTCATATCACTCATACGATATAACAACTGGCGACGGGGTAAAAAAAATGGCTCTAACTTCCGATCAATTTCAGTTGCTAATCCAGCGACAAGAGCAGCGTTTTAAGAAGAAGCAGTTGGATTTCACTGACAAGTTACACGCAAAGCTGCTGAATTACCCATGCTTTGGGGGGGTGCAACGGAAGTTGACGCATTAATTTATAAATTGCGTACAGAGCTGGAAATCGATTGCAGACCGAATGAATATGCCGGGGAAAGCCTCAATGAATCCGTGAAAAATTTTGGATCTTTCGATTAAACCAGCCATCATTGTAGGTAGAAGAGAATTCAATGATCTATCTAGAAGTCGTTGAGGAAGTCCCAGCTGAAACGTTTAAATAAAACAGTACTGATCAGAAAACTTTATGTTAGTGTAACAGAAAAATATAAGAAGTGGACAAACATATCAGATACTCAAATGAAAACAAAATGTGACTGAATATACTTAACAGCTGTTATTTAGAAGATGAATACCTTGAAAAACATCATATTTATCTAGGACTTAAACACTAACATTTTAGTATACTTCGAATCAATTAATATAAAGCAGGCTGCTATTATAATGGTGCTAAAATAGTTTCTACTATACATTTAAACACATAAATATTGGTACAAGGAGGCACCAGGTACATATGCGCCACACAAAGATCTGATCCACAAGTCAGTGGAGCATCGTAAGGAGATGCAATCCCATGGTGGCCGGTGACCAACGATTGGTTCATACGCCATTTGTTCCCTCAAGATACTGGAGTCCATGTGCACCATTGGTTTGGAATCACGGCTTTCCAACTCCCCTAGGTAGACTACCCGTGTCCACCAACCCGGTTAAAGCGTCGAACATTCGCTTTTCGTCCTCCCGATTTCGTAGACAACACCCGTGGCACGAGAAGGCAATGAATAGAACTTCCCTGACAGAGGCTATATACGCGTGGCCATGTGAGAGCATTTGAAGAGGGAGAGCGGACTTTCCCCACTCACGGCCGTACCAGGGCATTTGAAGGCTCAGTAAACAATAGATAGAAGCTAATAACTAATAATAAAAAAGAATATTTCTCTTAAACCTATACTGTTTTAACATTGGAAAACACTATGTTCTAATTATTTATATCTTACGAAAATAATAACATACCTTTAAATCATTGCATAAGAACCATACTAAATTGCATTGATTTGAACAATCAGGAATTGGTCGAAATATACACGCACTAATTACTTGTTCAGCACTAAAGAAAATATTTTTTTGTCAGAAAAAATTATAAACTAAAAGTGTTGATCATGAATTTAACTTGTTTTTCTTATAAAAAAATGTATTCAGAAGTATTTGTTTCCAGGGAAAAGAAACCGTTGATACGAATAAAGTAAATGAAGACAGTGAATCAATGTAAATAACAGTAATTTATGGACAAATATATGTAGCCATTGAAATATTTTAGTAAAAACACAGTATGATCAATGTAAAATCTAACGAAATTTGATACGGGGTATTTTCGATACCTTGACGTTATCATCATACAAACTCAAAAGTTGTGGTAAATCCTGTAATTCATATTAATTGCTTAAATTAATGTACAGTTAACCATAGAAATATCAATGTTAATTAAATGTAAACATTCAAATTTGAATTGGACAACTTAGAATTCTAATTTACAGCATACGCTGTGGAACGATAAAAATCCCCATGCGGAAAATCAGTGATCATTAGACTTAATCAGGATTAACATAATGTATTTTCATGAACATGCATGGGAAAAATAGTTAACGATGGACATTTTATTTATTCACCAAAGCAAATTTCACAGATTATTATCATTATTAGATAACAATAACGACTACAAAAACACAAAGATATACGGACGATGGATGGTGTTTTTAATTAAAAACATTCCTTTTCAATAGGTTTATTTTCAAAACCATACGCATTATATATATAAGCAAATTACAAGTCTTTAAACAATCTGTATATTATTACTACGTAGCTAACAAAGGGAGGGGGAGGGGAAATGTAAGAAATACATAACCATTAAGATAAAGAGAGTAAATGTGGGGATTTTGAGATGGCAGAGACTTGTAGCTCTTGATAAATCTTCTGACTGAACGCTTGAATAGGTTCCCTAAGCTCTTCTGATAACCCTACGGTAAATCTACACAACTTGAAAAGACGTGTAATATGGGGAGGACGCTTTACTCCAACATTAGTTTATATATAGAAAATCGAGGATATTTATAGCATTTCATATGGTCTTGGGCTTCTGTAAAGTTCTGAAACCTTTCTAAACATAATATCAGGATAGGTAATCATCCACTCAGAAATGTGATTTTTCACTTTCTATATGTTTCTGAGAAACGTCTATTGAATATTCTTATTGTTTCGTTGTACTATTTAAACTAAAATAAATTCTAATTTGCTGATTTATTCTCTGACGAAGTGGCTTACACTAAGTCACGAAACGTCAGAAATTCTAATTTTTCTACTCATTGGGATATTAAAAATATATTAATTAATTTATAACAATCTACCCAATGTTCAATTTATTCGAAATTATCAAATCAAAACTTGGTAATGATACCTATATATAGACAGTTTATATTAAACTAACAAAAATATACACTTACCGTACATAATTTGGTATTGGTGGACATTTAGGATGTTCAACAGAAGTACAACATATAAAGTAACAATTATTGTTATGTATTCCCCATGATCTCAACAGAACAAAATCTCTTCATGTACATATATGTAAGACAAATAATAATAACAGAATGTAAATTTAATACAAAACAATAACTACACTGATTATATTCAAATTTAAAATATATAAAGTAAATTTGAATGAATTTTTAAGTAATTTTTGTCAATTAAATTTACTTTATACTGTGCTATGTACCACTTGTAAGGACAGAAGAGGAAAATAGAAAGCAGTCAAAATAGCAACAGGAATAAAATAGCGATGGAGTTCGTAAAGGATAAGGACGATGGGGAAATAGTGTATTCAGTGTATTGTTTTCAAAATTTACAAATATCGTGTGTGATTTTGCATAATGCAATAAACTGGTTTACTACCCTTAATTTCGTCCATTACAATATTCTGTAGCACATCGTATTTCTTTTATTGTGTGCTTACCGAGCTGTTATTGCGCCACTTTAAATTAAAATCCGATGTGAGTTATAGGTGTATATACATGCATTACGGATGTACGGTTAATAGTACACTGTTTCCTTGTGCAGAGTAACAAAAAGACCTACAGGTAATAGTAAATCACGACTTTAAAACAACTGGGCATTGAAATGCAGAAGCTATCAAAGGTTTTCGGGTGTTATGGTCACTGCATTGAGCATTTGAATGTTGTGATGAAGATATGTTGAGGATTTCAAACCTCACTTATGTGAGACCTGATTTAGAATATCGCACTCAAGCAACGTGTCCATGTCTTACTAAGGATGACAATACACTCAAGTGCATGGAAACTAAGTCTTTCCGAAATCTCTTAACGTAGAACTTGAGGTGAGCTTATATTGGCATTCCGTATATTAAATAATGATGTGGGTGTTAGCCTATCTTATTTTTTAGCCCTCTCTAGAGCTAATCATCTCCGAGGTCCCTGAAAGAAGGTTTAGGAACCGCAACCAAAGGAAAATAGAGAAGGATTCCGTTTATCTCGAGTGGTCAATGACTAGAATACCCTTCTCGAACAAATGGATCTCCATTGGCTGCAATGATCAAGACAGATCAACTGATCTACTACCCTTATCACCGAGGTCTGAACAAAGGTATCCGAATCATAAAGCAGAACAAAAACAGAGTAATAGAATGAACTTCAATTCACGATATGATTACTTGACAGCAGAATAACCAATGAACCAATAACACCAGCAGTTTATTATAGACGGATGTAATAACAGACAATTATAATAGACACATCAACAACAACTATGCCATAGTGTTTTGAAAATGTCGTTCAATTGGTTCTTTTTATGAATTTGAATAAAGCCAAAACAACAATTGAGGCAGAATATTATATGTATTTGTTAATCATTCAGAATTATCAACCAAGTAAGCTAACTTCTCTTCGTTTTTACCGAAGCAGTAGAAATTACACGATAAAAAATCAAACCACACTTAAGTGTCCATATAATAGAGGCAGTAGCCAACTTATTATTGTTTTGGTTAATTTACATTTTTGACTAAAATCACATGTAATTATCATGATTATTTTATTATTGTGTTTATTTTTTGTTATGCAGTTTTCGCTAAGTTAATTGTTGTTACATCTTGGTGTTTTTCACTCTCTTATTTCTTTAAATTTATATGAACTGTTTAAGCTTTCTATAATTGTTGTGTAATCCATCTTATTGATTTCGGATCCTAGATAATTACCACTTCATAGATCTGTTTTCTTTATCCATATTCGAATGACCATAAACTGTTTAAATTTGCTGAAATTATTACACGATTCATCTTAACAGTTCTCGGACTTCGTATAATTACTACCTCATGTACTCTATATTTTTGAAATTTATCTTTAAACAACTCTCTCTCTCTCTCTCTCTTTAATGTTCATAAACGGATAAGCATATGTGAAGCGGTTTGAAGTTGAGATTTAAAAATATAGAGGGAAGTGAGGTTGTAACTATATGAAGTTATAATTGATAAGCGTTGTTATTCTAATTCCCTCTGTCACCAATATCTATTGTTTATTGTTATAACATGATTTAATGTTCTACTTTAATAGGAATACAGTTGTAAGTAGCTGGAGGGAAACTATAATATAAAATGAATTCATAATATTCTGCTTTAACTGCTTATTTCGGCTATTCAAGATTTTAAAAATGGTAATAAGTGATTTTAAAATATTAAAAATTACCATATAATGAATTAAAAGAACACAAGTAAATGACACATTTACATTCATGTATATCTACGGATTCAGCTGCTCCTGTGAAGAAAATTATGTTGGGTGTATAACTAGATAACTAAACCAACGAGTTAGTGAACACCACCCTTCGTGGTTAGAGAAGGGCATGATAAAAGCAATACGCAGCTCCGTCCTATCACATTTGATCGATAGCAGTAATGTGGTAAATACAAATAAATGATTTCAAGTAATTTATCGTATACCTCCTGGTTTTCCTTATGGAGTTTGATCTCGTCTCTTAAACCTTAAGATTAAGATTGCTTCATGCCTTTATTTCTTTCTGTACCATATCCTTACATACAATCTTTCTTTTATATATTACCACCATTAAATTAACTACTTCTATGAATTCGGTGTTGATCTTGTTGTGCTAATGAGGTATGGCAAATTGGACCGATGACTATATGTGCCTGGTCCTACGTTGTAGCTGACTGACCAACTGCTTAATGTTTCAAAAAGAGATTTGTCCTATTTCCTGGAATTTACATGCTCATCATTTATTCTTACTTTGAACAATATTGATTTGTTTCCTTTACACATGTTGCTGTGATGTGGCAACAGTTATATCAACATATTTTTGTACGTACTGATATAAGAAATAAGCTGATAGATGTCGTGACTTAGCAACCGAGTAAAAATGATATAAAGGTGACAGCTTGATAATATGACTAATAGGGTCAATACACTATAAACATCCGGATATCAGATAAGGTGAAATTAGATAACCCCGAATGCCCTGGTACGGCCGAGAGTGGGGAGAGTCCGCTCTCCCTCTACAAATGCTCTCACATGGCCACGCGTATATAGCCTCTGTCAGGGAAGTCCTACTCACTGCCTTCTCGTGACATTACTGTTGTTTACGAAATTGAGAGGACGAAAGGCGAATGTCCGGTGCTCTAACCGGGTTGATGGACATGGAGGGTCCACCTAGGAGAGTTGGAAAGCCGTGATTCCAAACCAATGGTGCATATGGGCCCCAGTATCCTGAGGGAAAAATGGCGTATGAATCAATCGTTGGTCACCAGCTATCATGTGACTGCATCTCTTTACGATGCTCCACTGTCTTGTGGATCAGATCTTTAGGTCAAAGGCTCCGGGTGTGGCCTCCTAAGAAGACCACCTGCTTCGTTTCGGGCACCCGGGCAGTATCATAGCTCTCAAACAATTAAATGAAATGACAACTTTTGTGTGGCGCATATATATCTGGTGCCCCTTTGTACCAATATCTATGTGTTCAAATAATAAGTAAATAAACAATTGAGAACCAGACTAGACTAGACAAGGTTATTCATATGATTTACAAATAATCAACACAGTGAAATCTGATTAGAAACCCATAGTGAATAAGAATTTACAATGCTATATGGTCTTACATATTTATTATGTGTTTATCATCGCTCACTAGTCAATCATGCTTTACTTTTACAAACTAGAGTGTCTGAAGAGATAGGTAATGGGTCCGAGTCTTGGTGTAAACTTTAACAACAGGATGTAGTTGTAATAAACACACACATAACAAATAGAACGAAATGCATGTTCTAGGTTTAACTACAAGTGATTATACTAAATAAGATCAACCTGTAAATGCAGGCACATTCAAAACATCGATTCAGGGAGACTAATTGCCAATAAAGAATGATTAACTCAGTTGTGAATATCCATGACAGAGAAATACAAACCGTTATACACAGAGTCATAATTTGTGTTCATATAACAATTGAAAAATATAGGTATTAACACGTGAGTTAGGCTAAATATTGTTTATTCTGGTTAGCGTTTTTTAGCAAGGTTGTTTCCTATGGAATGGGGTTTCTGAATCCATGCCCAACCCTTCTCCTTTACCCAACATTGGGACCTGTAGTAACCCTAGAACTACAGGCGTATCGGTAAATCAAGGATGGCATTCCTACAGTTGAAGAATATACGGAAATCAAAACAAATGCCGAACAACGCCAAGATCAGGATCTTCAATATGAACGTCAAGACAGTTCTATTATACAGGGCTGAACCTCGGGGAACTACCACAACCATCATCAAAAAAGTACAAGTATTTATAAACGATTGTCTACGCAACATACTCACTACCCGTCGACCGGATACCATCAACAAAAGCCTACTGTGGGAAAGAAAAAACCAGCTTCCAGATGAAGAAATTAGGGAAAGATGTTGGAGGGGGATAGAGACATATTGAGGAAATCATCAAACTGCGACATTTCCCCTTTAGTTACGCTTTCGTCCGCTTTATTCGCCTTTATTGGTTGTTTGCGTCTTGGATGGTTGTACGTAGTCAACAACTAACATCCAGAATATCTAGTGGTATAAAACATACTTCACTTCGTCTGCAAAGTCAACCTAGACCTAAACCTATTTTTATATTTTTGATCTATTTCTTTTTTGTGCATCTAATGCTATTACATTGTTGGTTATTGTAAGTATCTTTGTATTTTCTTCGTCACTCTCTCTCTTACTCTTTATTCTCTATTTCGCTGTACAATATTTCGCTCCATATATTATTTCTAGTTATCATCTCTCTGATTATTTAATGTGAATTCTTTTTTTGTCAAGAGCCATTGTGATATGTTTGCACTTTTCGATTACAAACTTAGAGGCTCGGTTCATTCTATCAATTGTACACATCATTTCTTGACCATTTTTTTTAAAAATCCTCGCTGTGAAATCTTGTTTGAATTTCTATTCTTCATGATTCAATGTTACTACTTTAATTTTCTGCAAACCTGTGTTAATTTTCTTTTTTATAATAAATGAATTTATCAATAAAATAACATACTTACATACTTGTAGTTTGT